GCAATGTAGAGAGAAAATGAAAGAAAAAAGAGAAGAAAAGTAACAAAAAATTTAATTGATTTTATTACATTTCCCTCTATAAATCTCTTTCCAACTCATGAGGGATTTGTAGACAGAGAATGAAAGAAAAAAGGAAAGAAAAGTAACAAAAAATTTTGTTGATTTTATTTACATTTCCCTCTATAAATCTCTTTCCAACTCAAGATCCAAAATCTACGAATTAAGAAGGAAAATTAGTAAATTTCTATCATTCCATATTTGAAATAACTATAATTTTTTAATGGTCTTTCAACTTTTTATTCGCGCCGCCCCCCAAAAGTATATTTTCATATTATTTGTATTTATTATTATTTTTTAAAAAATGTACAAATATTTTATTTTTATATATATATTCAAAAAGTAAAAAAAAATTATTAAAATATGAAAAGTTCTTTAAAAACATCGAAACACCAAAAAAAAAAAAAAAAACTTAGGTAATCTCCTATGAGGACATTCGGCATGCAGATTTCGAACAGAGGTGGACGGTGGTCAGCAACAAACGTTGGTGAACACCAGATTAGTGGTCTTCGTGGTCGTCAATGAACACCCAAGTCGGCGGCCGTCGTGCTCGTCGGTGAAGTCTTACTCGTCTGGTTTCCCTCTCTCTTTTTGTTCTTTCCTCTCTTTTCTGTTTTATTTTTAAATTGTTATATCTCTAAACCAAAACACGTGGGTTCCATGTGCATCATATTTCGGGAGGGAAAACAAATTTTAGCCATTCAGGCCACCACCCATTTGAGCTACCTAGCAGCTTTGAAAGAAAAATATTATTTGATATTTTTTATTATTATCTTTTATATAATAATTGGGGAAGAGAGTGAAATGATCTAAATAGTGAGAAGAGAGGTGAAGGGAGGTGCCACATTTATTTATTCTAAAATTATGAGAATTTAAGAATAAATATTTGAAGACTTTGACATAATAACTACATTTACCCATATAGATATAGATATAGATGTGAGCACTGGATTTGGTATCTAAATCTCCTCTTCATGCCATATGACAAATTTTTATATGTTAAATATAAAAAGTTATTATGCAACTTACATATTATAATATTAATTTTATTATTATTTATTTTTAACCTTCTTCCCATGTCATGTGACAGATTTTTATATGTTAAAATAAAAAATTATTATACAATAACACAAGTAAAGTTTGAACTCAAAATCTTGAGTTTCATTAAAAAAACACTTTCTATTTAAACAACTTATATATTATAATATTAATTTCTTTATTATTTATTTTCATTCTTACTTATTTAAAGTAACACACATATATATTAGATGTGCCACACGCTAAGTTATTTGAAGGTCCTATAGTTCATAATGTGAAGAGTTTCTTTTAACCAACCAACGATTATACTAAGAGAGCAAGTTTTTGTATTATCTACATTTTTGTATTATCTATATGTTATTATCTACATTCTTCATCCAACGACATAAATTATTGTGTGTTTAGTATAAAATGATTACACACTATAATAACATATAAAAGTTTTAGGAATTAATTTTTTTGATTTTTAAAAAATAAAAATTTTGTTTTAAAAAACATTAAGAGAATAGTTATTATTATGCAAAGGCCGTTTTAAAAAGTCAAAAAAAAAAAAAATTTGCAACGAAATTTTAAAAATGTCGCTAATAAATATACTTTTAGAAAATTTATTTTTGAAATTAAAATTTTGATCTCAAAAGGATAATAATTTATTACTAAATATCTAATTTTATTGTTAAAAATATAATAATGATACTTTCAATAATTAAAATATTTTGTCCATAAAAGATAATTTTGTTTTAAAATTTTTATTTGTAAAATCTAAATTTGAAGAATTTTCTATGTGGTTGCTACTATTGCCAAGAAAGAAGGCTTTGACTAGTTGTACAACTGACCATTGCTTTCTATTCTTCCCTTACTCATCATCACCATTGGACTGAGAAAAATAAAACAAAGAAGAATTTCATATGTTTTGAAACTTATTCGCATTCCATACACTAAAACATTGTTGAGAGAGAGAGAGAGAGAGAGAGAGAGAGATAGCAAAAGGGTAGGAAGAGTAACTTCATATCATCCCACTTTCTTGTGCAAGTTGTTCATCTAAAAAATACAAACAAACGAACTGCTTGGCCTTCTGTGAAGTTCTCAAGTTATCCGCACAATAACATATAATAAATAAATCTAAGAACATAGAATAACTACATTATTATTATTCAAACCACAAAGGTAAATGGGTCCCAAAAAAAAAAAAAAAAAAAAAAAAAAACCACATTCCAGATCGAGTTTGATCAGTTATTACATCATTAACATCTGAATTTTGAACACCTATAAATCTTCGACTGTCTCTCCTAATGTCAGTATTCCTATATATAGATATATATGCATCGACACACACTTGCCAACTAAAACAAAGGCACCTATTCTTAAACTTAAACTGTTTGAATCTTAAATTTAAATAAGAATTTGGGGAGGGAAAAGAAAACATAATGGAAAATTGACAAAAAAAATAAGTTTTTTGTCATTCTTCCCAACCCTTTTCATTTCCCCTCTCCAAATCCCTATTCAAATTTATAATCCAAAAACAGCTTTTAATGTTACAAGTAAGAAGACATCAATTCCAGCTAGCTTCTCTGAAATAAGCCTAATATCCCACTGAAGAACCTTACCTTCATCCGTTTTCTCGGACAGTGAAATTTCACATTTGTTTTCCACAAGGCTGCAAATCAATACGGTCTATATGTAGATCAAAAACCATTCTAGGCGGCCTCTTGAAAGCTGAGGGACCTAGAGAAAGCTGCAGGGTTAGCTTGCATTGATGGTAGGGTTTCGGCTATGTGATTCTTTTCTTTGCCCTTCGGTTCAAAAGCCTTAAAAAGTCCTTTCCCGCTAATGGAATCGTTCTTAATCCCAAGCGTTGTCCATATAGAGCTCCTTGCAGCTTCGTCAGGGTCATCAATCCTCAAAGTTTTCGGAATCAAAATAGACCTCTCTGAATTTTTAGGCTCTTTTTCATCTGAATTGCTCGGTTTTACCAAGTCCCCGTCTCTTGATCGCTTCCCTAGAGTTGGTAGATATGGAATGCTCCAAGCATCCGGTACACTGCAATTCCAATATGGGGCGGGGCAATATGGGGCAGGGTAGAATGGCATGGGGATTACAGAAGGGCAAATGGCCGGTACAGGAATCGAGGTATTCCAAGGATAAGGGTATGGAACCCCAGGGGGGCATGGAACCCCAGGGAGGCATGGAATTTGAGGAACAAAGCGTTCTTGAATCCCATTCCTCTCTGCTCCTTCCAATGAATTTGAAGTTGTGACAGATGAACCACTAGAGCAATCATCCCCCTTTTCTCCACCAACAGGAGCCTTTTTCTCTGCAAGATTCAAGACACAAGCCACGGATTCAAAAATTGGTGCTTCTGTGCCAAATGAGAGGACCGTGCCATTGGTTTTGAACGCAGGACGGTGAATTCCATTGGGGGTATCAATTTCAGCAGAGTGGAGAGCCTTGGATATTGTGATGTGGCGACAATGCGAGGAGGCAGAATTCTTGTTCTTGCGTCTTCCAGCTCCTACAGGCACGTTCCTCATGGTGCCGCCAGCAGTCCAGTACCTCTGACAGCTCTTGCAGAAATGGCGGGGCTGATTGACGTTGTAATTGTTGTAGTAACAGAATTTCGTGTCCATGCTTTTACAACGCGGGCATGGGAGGATTTTATCTGGCTTTTTCAGGGTTTTCTGTTCGGGGCTATTTGTATCACTTCCATCATTTTCAGTTTTTGGAGGTTTTTCATCGCCAGACGAGGGTGTTTTAGGGTTTTCATCAGACTCCAGCAATGTTTCTTGATTTGCAGGGTCCTCTGTAGTTGGAGGTTTTTCTGCTAGTGGATACTGAAATTTGAGCATAATTTCTTGTAAGTTCAGGTACAAGTATTATGGCATAAAGTACAACTCTGATATGAACACAACAACACTGCTGCGGTGATTAGAGAAAAAATATTCTATTTTACATTGGTAATTTGAGTAAGCGAGTGTAAGTATACTTTTCATGGACCCAATTAGCAAGATAACAAAAATATGAAGAAAAAGGTCAAAAAAGGAGAAATATATTATTCACAAGGAAAATTTTGTAGCCGAAGCAATCACATAATCAGACATAATTCTTTTACCTAAAAGCATTTCTACAAATATGTGGAAAACAGGTATTTTCGCTCCTAGGCTGTGTTTGGATATTATTATGGACAAAGAAGAGGAGAAGTGCAAAGATTTCAACTTTTATTTCATTAACTTTTTTTCAATGTTTGAATCTTGGAGTGGCGGATGAGTTTTTAGAAGGAAGGGAAAAGGAATAGAAAAAAAGTGAAAAGTTTAACATCTATTTTTGTCACATGTTTACAGTTTCAAAGTTGGAAATTCCCATAGACAACTAGGCTCAAGCAGAATCAACACAAAGTGATCTCAAAAGCCATAATTAGAACTTCAATTCTTCAAAAGCAACACTAAAAAAAAAAAAAAATCAAAGTAAAGGGTATGAAAGATTTTGGGTACCCTAAGCTATTTATTCAAGAGCAAGTCTTATAGTTTTAAAGCCCATTAAACTTATTTAATCAAAAAATGAGTGACATAAACATAAGAAAATATTCAAATTGAAGCTAAAAGGAAAGCCCTAATTTGCAGTGTTGAACTTCAGATGAAGCAGAAGCCGCCACGTACCCTTCAAAGGAATATGAAAAATGAAAAAGTGGGATCGACCCATTACTTGTTTTAGCAATCTGACAAATGGGTCCTTCTCATGTTTTGCAGATTACATGTGTGTATATATATATATATTGACGTATGTATATATTGGAATTAGAACCTTGTGATCAGCTTCTGGTTCGTTTTCTTCTTCCTCCCGTGTTTTGCTTACTTTCTCGGCTTCCAAACAGGCATCCACAAGAGAACTAAGATCATGATCAGACCTCCCATCTTCCAAACAAGTCAGCCCGTTTCTCGGCAGCGGAATCTCCTTCCCGAACAGCTTGATCGCTGGGTCCCTCTCCGTCACCATCATTTTCTTTTCTTTTCTTTCTTCCTTTTTTTCCCCGGAAAACGCGGGAAAGTGGCCGAGAAAATGGATAAAAACAAAACAAGAAACGATGTTTGAATCAGAATGGGTTTTCTGGGGGTGATTCTCTCTCTCTCTCTCTCCCTCTCTATCTAAAACATTATCTGTGAAAAGAATGAGCAGGAGTCTTCGTTGGCATCGTCGGGGTCTACGATTTTGATTTGTTTAAACTGAAGTGGATGTGCCACGTCATCAATGGAAACATTTCTCAGCCACAAGTTTGTGTGGCCTTGAGATCTTCCCCCTCACACACTAGATTCTTTTTCGTGTTGCACAAAAAGTTTGGTACATCCCCATTTCTTTTTACTCTTAAATCATTTTTATTTTTTATTACTATGGATCCGTTTGGCAAGGAGGTTTGAACCTATTTTAGTTATAAAAGATAAAATAGATTATTTTAATTATAACAAACAAAATATCACATTCAACTCATAATTATTAAAACATAAAACAGTTGATAGGCAAAATAAAATATATACTTTATAGAAATATTTAGATAGGTAAAATGCCTACTACCGTTGGAGATGCTCTCACACACTAGATTCTTTTTCGTGTTGCACAAAAAGTTTGGTACATCCCCATTTCTTTTTACTCTTAAATCATTTTTATTTTTTATTACTATGGATCCGTTTGGCAAGGAGGTTTGAACCTATTTTAGTTATAAAAGATAAAATAGATTATTTTAATTATAACAAACAAAATATCACATTCAACTCATAATTATTATATTTTTCTTTCAAAAAAAAATCAAAAAAGTCAAAAAGCTAAAAATCTCTTCCTAAATCAAACTTTTTAGTCCAGACTAAAATAGTTAAAAAAAGTCAAAAACTAAAAAGTCAATCTACTTTCCAAATGGAGGCTATATATCTGCATTAAGTAGTACGCAGTTTAAGAGTTGGTTTGAGAAATAGGTTAGTTTTTTAGTTTTTTGATTTTTTTAATTTGAGGTTAAAATTTTTTATTTGAGATGTGTTTTTTAGTTTTTTTAGCTTTTGTGAGTGAAAAAATTTAATAATTATAGATTGAATGTGATATTTTATCTTATTGAACTAAAAAACTTATTTTATTCATTTTTTTTTTGGACTATTTTAATCCAGAAAAAGAACCTAACTTCCCAAACAACCTCTAACTATTATTTGCATGAATGTGTTTGATAATGTGACTTTTTATATTATTTATTTATTTATTTAGAAGTTTGTATTGCTGAATAAAAAGTTAAGAGAGCGAATGATTTTATCAAATTTCTTATGTGACACTAGGGGTGCAACTCGGGCGGGTTCGGTCGGGTTGGGGGTCTGCCCAAGCCCGACCCGAATTGTATTTGGCACTGCCCAAGCCCGCCCAAGCCCGACCATGAACCCGAACATTGTTGCCCAAGCCCGGCCCAAGCTTTGTATTTTGAACTCGGGTTGCCCGAATTGCCCGAATTGCCCGAGTTCAGAAACCTGTAGGTAGATCTAAGGGTAGACATAAAAGATACTAATCTAATGGTAGAAAACTAACCAATAAAAAATAAAAAATAAAAATTAAGACTAACTCTTTTACTTAATAGAAGACTAACCAAAAAAAAAATAAAAAAAAAATTAAGACTAACTCTTTTACTTAATTTATATAATATATTAAATTGAATTCGGGTTCGGGTTGCTCGGGTTGGCCATTGGTTCTGCCCAAGCCCGGCCCGAATTGCAATTCGGGCATCAAAAATCTGCCCAAGCCCGTCCAGATTACAAGATATAGTTGCCCAAGCCCTAAAAAAACTCGGGCTGGGCTCGGGTTGCTCGGGTTGAGCCCGCCCGAGTTGCACCCCTATGTGACACCTTATCTATATTGTATATTAAGAGAAAAGAGATTTCAAATAAGAAAGGATGTGAGGGCTTTACATGCTCAATCTCAATTTTTATTTTTTTAATTTAAATAATTAATAAAATTTTTATTTCCTAATTTTTATTTGATCATATAAAAATAAAACTCTAATTAGTTTATGATTTATAATTTTTAAAAAGAAAATATTTAAAATATATATTTGTTTTGCTATTAAATATAAGAAGCAATTCACCAAAATAAGAAATAAAAATGTTGAATTTCAAATATTTAAAGATTGACTTCTTATGCACATATATTTTTATTTTTTCATACACATAATATTTCAAATCTCTTATTATCACCTATATATATATATATATATATTACAAATTGCAAATGTGTTACACACAAAATTAAAAATAATAAAATATTTTAGAAAAATTTATCTATGTTGATATCTATTTGTCACAAAAAGTCTTATCGCAGTTTCAAAATCTCATATCTAATTTCTTGATTTTTTTTTAATTTTAAAAGTTTTAAAAAATTCTATTAGATAATCATTCTATGATTTATGGCTTTCAAAAAGAAAATATACTAATTTATTTTAAATTCAATTAAAAAGAGAATACTTTTATAATTTATAGCAAATTATATTAAATCCCCTCAAACTATCAGCCATTTACACTTTACCCCCCTAATGTTTTAGACCCAACAATTACCCCCTCAAACTATTTAAATTTGAACATTAAATCCTTATGTTAGTCATTTGTTAGATATTTGGATAAAAATTGTCAAGTGTTGTGCAAATTTAAATTTTCGAATTGTGCAAATTTAAATTGTTTTAGGCTTAATGTTAAAATTTAAATAGCTTAAGGGGGTAATTGTTCGATTTAAAACATTAAGAGTAAAGTATAAAGGGCCAATGGTTTGAGGGAGTTTAATATAACTTGCCTTATAATTTATGATTTTGATTTCCTATTATTCCATATTAATCTATACTATACATTTATGTACCTATATATATAGCATAGATGTAATCATTCAAAAAAAAAAATTAAAAAAATAAAAAAAAGCTTACAACCCACATTGCCAATTCAAAAACCATAAACAACCATAGCAACTATACTAACCACAGATTTTGATCTCTTCTTCACCGCAATATGGCATCAACATCTATTTCAACTGTTTTGTCAATTTTTCTTATGCAAATTTTAAATATTATGTTTGTTTTATTGTGGATGTTAACCCATGATATATTACAATATTTTTATGATTGTAGCATTTGAGAGTTTTAGTGTATATTTATATGTTTATTTTTTTGTTAGATACATAGCAATTAGAAAAAGTTGATGATACAATGATAAATTTACCAAAAAAAATGCATGTTTTAATTGTAATTCCTTCAATTTTGATTTTAAGTGGTTTTTTTTTATTATTTCTAAATTCAGTAGTGTAAGCAAAATTATGATAATAATCACTCTAGTTAACAACATGTAATTTTTGTTTGCTTGTTTATGAAGGACTCAAAAATGTATGTATTAATGTTTGATTCAGTATGTGTACTTTGTTTTCATCAATAAAGTTATTTTTTTCCATTAAAAAAAATCATTCATAATTTGTCCAAATCTCTAACTATATGAAGGACTTACAAATGGCATGCAACCTCACAAAAATATAGAGACAAGTCAAATGACTTACTCAACCTAAGTATTATAAATTTATTTTTATATACATAATCTTATAAGATAGAGATTGGAAAAAAAAATCAAAATATGATAATGTTTTTCAAATTATTTAATTTAGAAACAAATATGATTTTTTAAATTGACTTTAAGATGTTATTGATTCATGTGGGGATATATTTTCTGAGTACCAACACGTGGCAAGGTGACGCCGACGTGTCAGCCGAGGTGCCACGTGTCCTGGTCGTGACGCCGAGGTGATCTCGACAAGGCCGAGGTTGCCTCCGAAGATATCGGAATCCGAGATAAGCGGATAAGGACAAGAGTCCTAGAATGAAGAGGGAACTCAACTTGGATATGGACAAGAGTCCTAGATTGGGAGAAGACTTCAGTTTGGGTAAAGATAAGACTCTTAGAGAGTTTATCCTAATCCCACTGGGAGTCCCAGATTAGCAGTAATCCTAAGTCCATTAGGGCCAGGCTCCTATTGGGACTAGGATTGTATTAGCCTTATAATTTATGATTTTGATTTCCTATTATTCCATATTAATCTATACTATACATTTATGTACCTATATATATAGCATAGATGTAATCATTCAAAAAAAAAAATTAAAAAAATAAAAAAAAGCTTACAACCCACATTGCCAATTCAAAAACCATAAACAACCATAGCAACTATACTAACCACAGATTTTGATCTCTTCTTCACCGCAATATGGCATCAACATCTATTTCAACTGTTTTGTCAATTTTTCTTATGCAAATTTTAAATATTATGTTTGTTTTATTGTGGATGTTAACCCATGATATATTACAATATTTTTATGATTGTAGCATTTGAGAGTTTTAGTGTATATTTATATGTTTATTTTTTTGTTAGATACATAGCAATTAGAAAAAGTTGATGATACAATGATAAATTTACCAAAAAAAATGCATGTTTTAATTGTAATTCCTTCAATTTTGATTTTAAGTGGTTTTTTTTTATTATTTCTAAATTCAGTAGTGTAAGCAAAATTATGATAATAATCACTCTAGTTAACAACATGTAATTTTTGTTTGCTTGTTTATGAAGGACTCAAAAATGTATGTATTGATGTTTGATTCAGTATGTGTACTTTGTTTTCATCAATAAAGTTATTTTTTTCCATTAAAAAAAATCATTCATAATTTGTCCAAATCTCTAACTACATGAAGGACTTACAAATGGCATGTAACCTCACAAAAATATAGAGACAAGTCAAATGACTTACTCAACCTAAATATTATAAATTTATTTTTATATACATAATCTTATTAGATGGAGATCGGAAAAAAAAATCAAAATATGATAATGTTTTTCAAACTATTTAATTTAGAAACAAATATGATTTTTTAAATTGACTTTAAGATGTTATTGATTCAAGCCACGGAGGTTAACTTCATATTCTTAGCCAAACTTAAGAATTTTCTTAATGAATTTTCTTCATGTTTTCTCATACAATTAAAAAATTCATTTACAAACACAATAACTTTTCTTATCTCTTAAAATAATTAAAAAGTCATTTAAAATGTTAATTTCAAACAATCACTTAATTAAAAATAGTTAAAATTTGCTTATCTATTTTTTTTATTTTTTAATTAATTAAAAAATAAATATATCTATCACTATTTAATCCCGTGCATAGCACGAGTTATATATGCTGGTATTTATTGAAGGTAAAATGTAAGGTAAAGTCTATTGCATTAATATAAATAGAGAAATGTTAGAGATTCGTACTTTTAAATTCATAAATTTACTTACAATAATGTGATAAGGGAGATGAACCTTACATCATTAAGTATCTAACAAATAAAAAGTTAACTCGTATTATATCACATTGTTGTGGGTACAGTTGTACGATTTTTTGGAAAATCTTAAACATTTTCTACATAAACTAGTTAAAGCACACGTGCAATGCACATGGCTATTTTGGTCCAATTCATTTTTTCACCAATTGTAACAGGTAGTGTTCATGAATTTAAGCAAAATTTTGAGAAAATTTGAGATCAGCTACTTGTGTTGGGTAATATCTGCATATATATCATTTGAAAATGAAATTAAAATTAGGCGAAGTAAAAAATATAAATTAAGGTGTGAATTAACTTATGTGTAGTTATCTACATTGCATAATCAAAATATAGGCATAAATTGCATGAAATTTGGACATAAACATCTAAAAATGTATGTTTAAGTATAGTATAAGGTTGTGCGCCATAGCCATTAAATCAACTAATCAAATGTAAATGGAGATATATATATATATATATATATATTTAACCAATTGATAAAAAAAAATATAAATATAGAAAAAAGAAAACTAAAGAAGTTATCAAAATTTAAAGCCGTTAACATTGCATAATCAAAATATAGGCATAAACTGCATGAAATTTGGACATAAACATCTAAAAATGTATGTTTAAGTATAGTATAAGGTTGTGCGCCATAGCTATTAAATCAACTAATCAAATGTAAATGGAGATATATATATATATATATAACCAATTGATAAAAAAAAAATATAAATATAGAAAAAAGAAAACTAAAGAAGTTATCAAAATTTAAAGTCGTTACACAATAAAAATTTAGGAATTTTAAAAATGTGACAAAGTTCACACCAGACCGAGTTGTACTCTTTCTATATAAAGTTCCATATTATATAGGTCACACTCCTTGTAAGACATCTTTATCTCATTTTGTATTTGCTACTCTATGCATTTTGGCTTATTAGGATAATTCTATTTGTACCAAAAAAAATCATTAAGTACGCTTAGTTTTTTAATACACTTCCATTAAATTATTTAGAATTATAATAACTCTCAATACACCCTATGCTTTTTCTCAAATTATTAATTCTTCAATGTACGTCCAAATCCCAAATTACACCACTTCGAAAAATACTTTGAAAAACCTTTAAATAGATTTCTCATTACAGTTATATATTCATTTGGGATTTATTGCTCTCTACCTGTTCTTTCCTTCTTCTATTCCAAGGCCGGCCTAGAGCTTCTTGTAGTGGTTGTTGTTTGTGTTGTTGTTGGGAGTGAGGAAGAAGATGAGAAAATAATTGAAACTTGGAGACGAAGATGAAGAGAGTTGAATGTGAAGAATACGTATAAGTGGTTTGGAGGTACCATAAGAAAAAATAATATTTTATTTTAGAATTTAATGTGTATTGTCTTTATTAGTAAATTTATATTAGGGTATAACAAGAATTAAAATTTTAAATTTTAATTGGGCGTACTGAATTATTATTTGAGTTCAAATAGAATCACTTGACTTATTATTATAAAATAGGAAGAAATTGAAAATACTTCCTAAAACAAATCCACAAAGCTTTTGAAATCACAAACAAAATAATGCATACTGCTTGTTGAACAAAATTTATTTATTTTTGAATAAAAACTTTAAGATAGAGTTCTAACTAAATATGAAATTTCAGAAGCCTGAATTTTTTTTAAAAAAAAATTATAATAATCTTAGCCCAAAGAAAAACAATCCAACTATAACTACCTTCAACACAAAATAAAATTAAAAAAATACCTTTCGGTCAAGGTTTCAAATGAACAAGAATTTTATGGTTTGGCACAGCTTCAATCTCTACAATGTGATAATAAATTGATGAAATTAAAGTGAAACACAATTCAAACAAATCAAGTCCTCATAAATTGAAATTGAAAGTTAAATAAGTTCTAAGGGAAGTAAAAAGACACACCTAGAACTTTTATTTATAAACGTCAATGTGTGATTCAAATTTATTCTAATTCTACATATGGAAAAGTCTAGTTACTATGAAAATTTGTCAAAACAATTGTCATGAATCAAGAAATATTGTTGAGATTTAGTGCATTATGAGATATACATATAGAATCACTACAAGAATTAACACTTTTGGCAACAAAAAAATTGGTCGCTAAAAGTCTATTTTTGGTCGGCAAAAGTTATCCGCGACCAATTTTTTTGGTCGCTACTTTGGTCGCCAATTGAGGGTCGGCAAAAGTAATTCGCGACCAAAATTTTGGTTGGTTGGCAAAAGTTGGATTTGCCGACTAAATTTTTGGCCGCTAAATATTTAATTACCGCGACTAATTCATTTTGTCGCGAAAACACTTTGGTCACGAAAAATGATATTTTCCCGACCAAATATTTTAGTCGCCAATTGACACATTTCGCGACCAAAAAGTTTGGTCGCCAATTATCACATTCAACGACTAAAAGTTTGGTCACCAATTGTGACATTCCACGACCAAAAACTTTGGTCGCCATTTGTTACTTTTTGCGACCAAAACTTTTGGTCAGCAAAAGTGAGTTTCCAGAACCAAGAGCTGTTTTGGTCTGCAATAGATGTATTTTTTACTACCAAAACTCTTGGTCGGCAATTGTCATTTTTTGCAAAAAAAAATTAATTTGGATGTCGCGACTAATAAATTGGTCGCCAAAGCAGAAAAACAATACACCTGTAATTCCTAATAATTCATTCAATCCATAATAAACCTATAATTTTAAAGTATCATTCAAATTAACTGAATCATTAACATTCGACACAATACAACTATTCTAAGTTTTCATTCACAAGTCACATCCATCTAGCATAACAATTTGAAACATAACTATTTGTTTTCCATGCGCAGCTATCAACAAATAAAACTACGAATATTTGTTATCCATACACATCCATCCAAAAATATTTAATCCTCCCAAAAATGCTTATACTGCCAAGTAGTCTTGTACAATTTACCATGAGTTTTCTTCACCAGAAAATTGGCTTTCTAACTGAGCAAAGCTCCAAAAATTATAACTGAACCTGATTAGAAAATCCTGCCCCACGAGACATGACAATTGCCCATCTACTTCCTGCAGTAGCCACGGCAGTTACATAGAATCCTTCCCTCCATTTTTTATTTATCCACTTGAATGGAAATGACTCGCTCACTTTATAAGATTGCTGTAAATACTGGGTACCTAGGTTTTAAAGTAGTGAAAGTGAGAACAATAGTAAGTGAAACATTAGTAGAAAGGAACTAAAATAAATTATTGAAACATTAGTAAGTTGGGATATATGTAAAAATGTATTGAAATATGTAAAAAATGTATAAAAATATTTAACAATATATAAAACATGTAAGATGTGTATTACCATTCTATTTTTTATTTTATTTTATTTTTTACATTTTTTGATCCATAATCAACACCCCATTGGGCTGTGGCTAGCAGAGTCCATTCTAGAAATGGACTTAAGAGTGGCAAGATGAAAGAACAGTTAAGGAGATGTTTTTGGCCTGAGGTTGGACCATTCCAATCAAGGGCAATAAGATTGAACTTCAATATACTAGGAGAGGAAATGCAATGCTAAAGTGAAATGTTGATTCAATCATTCAACAGAAAAAAAAAGCCGTAGCTGAAGGCCTCATACTGCTTTCAAAATTCTATTCTCTCTTATTTTCTACTAAAGCTTTTATGAAAGATAAAATAGTTTAAGAAATAGGGTAGAACAAATCGCTGCTGAATCGAGCTCTCCGACAAAAAAAATATATATTGAAATATAGAAAATGACATATATATAAACCACTAACAAGAACTAAAAAACAGAGACAAATCTAAAAGATTGATCATATTGAAGATCTACGTGCACATCAAACTTCAACAACAACAAATCACAAACAAATCGTCAAGATAGATAGATCATATTCAACTTTCATTGCAAAAATAGAATCAAAAACCACAATTCATAGCTTTCATACGCCAAATCAGATCAGTTTTATTAAAGCTAAACCAATACAACAGAGAAATAGAGAAATACAACAAATAAAATCAAAATTATTTTCTCTGGTTGTTGGTTGGACAACTAGAAGTCAGTGAGCAGTGAATAATGAAAATTGACTGCATCGCATGTTGAAAAGAATACCACAATCTGTAAAGTGAATGCATGAGAGAACTTCACAATAAGAACAAGTTATTATGCACTGAAGTAATACAACTTTTCATACCAAATTAGTTCGAATGAGAAATAATATGACATTTCTTCCTATATTTAACAATTAAAAATAATAAATAAATGAATAAAGGAGAGAAAAACAAAGTCTTGATCTTCTCCTGACTAAAGGAAAGTACTCAGTGTGAAGTAATATTTGGTAGTGTATAAAGATACAGTGACCATTCTAGAGAATGAATCATGAGAGACTCCTACAAACCAAACTCATAATGATGCCACCCTACTGATTAGTGAGTGGCATTGTGTTACCAGAGCAGCACTCTTTCATTAACTTTCAAATGTGAAAGAAGTTTAAAAACCAGAAAGGTAAATGAAAGGCTATAGTTCAACTAGTTATCTAACCATGAATTTACCAATTCAAAGGCACATGCAGATCTTGCACTGATTGACCAGCACAATTTTTATGATACCTGAATGTGCATGCATTACATAACGGAACAACATTACAGCACGTGTAGGAACAATCAGCAGTTTGGAAATAGAAGGGCGGCCTTACCTTATAGGAAATTTCTGAGTCAAAAAGAGTCTTCAGAATGGATAGGAGGACCACAAGCCATGAACCACAGGGCACTATACAGAAAATTCAATCAGAATTTTCATATGAAATCGAAATCCATGAAAGTCACCAAATCAGAGTCTCCGTCACATTACCTTTAACGTATCTCTGAACTAATTGAGCTGGAAGCTTATATTCTTCATTGGAAGAACTTATTAGCTTTCCTGAGTACTTTAATTCATTATCCACATCAAATCCTAAAGATTCCAAATGTTCAAGAGATGGACTAGTTTACAACTTACTGTCATCGAGACCAATCATAATTGGACTCTCTAAACTCATTTTAGCAAGATTATTTACTTTTTCATTTAAGGTAGCTGACAAAAGCAAATTCTGTCTCTGAAATTCAGAAATCCTTGAAATGGCATTCCCCTCGCTAAGAGACTTCTGTTTCTGGGAACCCAAGAGATCAAGTATCTCCTCTATGTCTTTACCAAATCCTAATTCAAGAATCCTGTTAAGGTGCACAACAAAGCCACTGATAAATGAAAGAACTCAGAAAGAAGAAGAAACAAGAAACAATTGCAACTTTAGATTGTAGATATCACCTATCTGCTTCATCAAAGATTATCCATCGCAAATTTGTGTACACGAAGGACGATGTTTTTTTTAGATGATCCAAAAGGCGTCCAGGAGTTGCAACAAGAATAGATATGCCTGGAAATGACCATAAGTTACCCATGCTAAACAGTTGTGTGTTACAGAATAAATAACAGAGAATAGAATGTTTTATGAGATGTCTATCAGGCTAACTAACTATGCCTTTATTTCACAAGATGCTGAAAATTCTAAAACCTGTTAATAAAATGAGCATAATTGAAATAAGTGGCAAGACAAAAATGATAAATAAGAATTGAAGGCACATACAAGAAGGTAGAGAGAGATAGCACCAATTCTAGACAAGATAATAAAAAAAAAATTAAAAAAAAAAAAGAAGAAGAGGTCAAGTCATGTTAATGGGAAATTAATTATGTAGTAGCTAGAAAAATTGATTAAGCTAAGAGTGAGGTGACTAAAAGACAAGTAGAAGACCAAAAATAACTAGGTGTCATATTACAGGACAAGGTAATAAATAAAGCATACTCATGCAGGATTTGACTCAAGCTTAAGCTAAATGGCCAAAAAGGAATCTACTTATCAATCAAAGTTGAAACTTGAAAGCTTAAAGAATGAAAATCCTATTAACAACTAGACCAACCAAAACCACATTGCACCAACGAAAATCATTTAGTAGTAAAAACAAGGGTTAAAAACCAATTTGATAAAAGAAAAATGAAGGGAAGAACAAATGAATGGGAAATGAAGAAGTAGCAATTATGTATTATCACAACAGATATGTTGTCAACGCAAAATCTTGCTGGAAGATGCAGGAATAAATCCACTAATAATAGCTCTAAAATGTGAAAAGTAAAGAACCCTTCAGTTCAATGAGTTAAATGAACATAAAAAATTCAGTGAATAATATTTTTATACCCAAATCTTGGTTACGTAACACAAAATATGGCAATAGTTTAGTTATTGGTTAATGGGTCAAACAACTGAATATAACTGAAAAAAACTGCACCACAAAATTCCAAATATGACAACCAAGTGGATTTTACAACATTTGAACTTAACAATCTGGCCCATCAAATTGCTAGAGAATTCAGTATACTATAGTGCTTAACAAACCTTAACCTGCAAGTTCAAATTCCAAAATGTAAGTTATGACACTGTAATTATGCATGATGTCTTACCTTTGTGCAACCTGGCTTTTTCTTTTGACCTGTTTTCACCACCCATTATATAGCCTGGGACAATCCAATGAAAACGGTGCAATAACTTTTGCAAGATTTCATATACCTGCATGCATAACTCATGCGTTGGTACAAGAACCAACGCTACCATAAATATATCAGTTCATCAATTTTTTATTGGACAAAGTACACAAAGTAATGCAGCAATAGTGTCACGTTTCTCATGACTAACAAAAGAGTGATGATCTAAAAGCCCGAGCTTCATCAAAGCAGACATTCACCCCTAGAAAAAAAACAGCAAGCTTAAAACCACTTGGAAGTTTGTGCTTAAAATCACATGGCCACATAAGCTTATCCAATAACAAACAAATGAACAACTCATGGTAATGTTTCCCTTCCAAACTCACAAATAAAGATGTTATTCTTGACATTAGATAACAGTTCGAGCAACACAAACTAAAAAAGCAGATCATAATGATTTCAAAATATAAAATTGAGATTCCTACCCAAAAAATGCCCCACTAAACAAGCCTCCCACCTTTCTACACTTTCCCTCCTAGGGAGGTCAACCACAATGGTAGAATCAGAAGAAGAAGGAGGGAAATACCGAAGTTTGACAGATGACCTCTGATTCGATGCCACCACTGAAGCCCATGACTTATCAGGAGCCGCATTGTCTACAGCTAAAACCACATTCAACTCAGCTAAACCCATGGTATTATTGCAGAGCCATAATCAGTAGAATCAAATTTGGGCCTTTTTTTACGAGCCCAAGATGAAGAAAACTAGGGTTCCCTATAAGGCCATGCTTAGCCTCGTACAGCAGCAATTGGGCGGTGGTCAGCCTCCCGGAACAGTCGCCGCCGCCGCTGATGAGGTTTTGGTTGTTTTGAAGAACAATAACCCCAACAAGAGGGGGGAGATTGAGAAATTGTTGAACCCTATGTCGAATCATGTTTTCGATCAGATGGTTTCCTTTGGGAACCTAATCACTGATTTCCAAGAAGAATAAGACAATGTTATGATTGATGATAATGTGGGTTTTACTGTTGTGTTTGACGAGGAAGAAGAACAGGAGGAAGAGAATGGGTTTTACTGTTGTGTTTGACTAGGAAGAAGAACAGAATGGTTTTGATGATGATGATCTTAAAGTTGAGACTAAGCTTTTGGGTCATCTCCAATTCGATAATTTCAGCCTTGTTAAGTGTTTGTTGCAGAACCGATTGAAGATTGTGTGGTGTACTCGTCTAGCCAGGGCCGAGGATCAGGAGACGAGAGAGAAGATTAAGGAAGAAATGTTGGATTCTGGACTGGAATTGGCTGCAATTCTTGAGCAGTTGCAAGCCGATTGAGAGAGAGAACACAGAGAGAGGAAGAGTTGGAGACAGAGGAGATCAGGGCCTTTTTTTTTAATTTTTTTTTTTTTTTTGTTTTCCAGGTACAAAACGACGTCGTTTTTAATTTGGCGACCAAATTTTTTTTGTCGCCAAAAAATTTCATTTCCCCCCTCCCTGTTTGAAATTTCCCTCCCAAACACTTTTGGCGACCAAAACACCACATTAGTCGCAAAAAAGGTACCTTCCGCAACCAATTTTTTTAGTCGCTAAATCTCAATCAATGGCGACTAAAATATTAGTCGCTAAAAGTACAAATTTGGCGACTAAATTTTTTTGGTCGTCAAAATATAACTTTCCGCGACCAAATTTGTAGTTGGTCACGAAAAGCATACCAATTTCTACGACTAACTCATTTTTGGTCGCCACAATGTGACCTTCTGCGACCAACTCATATTTAGTCGCCAAAAATATTGATCATTCACGACTAATTAATATTTGGTCGCCAAATGTCATTTTTTTGCGACCAAAATTTTTTTGGTCGGCAAAAGTGGTCGCCAAATGTGTAAATCCTTGTAGTGAATGAATTCAAAGCAAGAATATTGTCATCGATGAAGAAGTGTGGTTGAGATTCAATTGGCGTATGATGGATTCACATATAGAATGAATATGAACTACACATTTTATGTAAAATTCTAAATACAATTCTGGGTATCTTATTGATTTATATTAGTAGGGAAAAGTTTACAAGGAATAAATTTCAGATACCGTTAAGTCCTGTCATTTAATGGGTTCATTAGGACTCCCTTCTTTCCCATTGCTATTGATACCAATATAATATAATTTTTAATCTAAATACATTTAGAAACTAATTTATTTATGTAATTTTTTTAATGTTTTAATGTTAAATATTATTATATTTTAAATACAAGAAAATATGAATAAAATACGAAAAATCAGTAAATGTTCAAATTTATTTGTATTTAGTAATTTTTTTTACAAATATTTTACTTTTTAATTATATTTAGATTGGATATATATCTAAAAAGTACTCTATATATATATATGTGTGTGTGTGTTAGCAAAAAATCTGGTCTGGGCCAAATCGACAGATGTGATTTGACAAAAAACTCAGAATTTCACAAACAACAATAGATCAAGCAATTGTGGTCTGAACGTTCTATGCCTTAACAGATTCAAAGACTTCTTTGGAGGCTGTAATGCAAAGAAACAAGAAGGAATAAACTGAAAATCAATTGTTAAACAAACAAACTTGGAATTTAATCAGTAAAATTAAATTTTCAGTTCAATGTACAAGACAATCGATAAAAAACTCTTAGTTATAGAAACTGAACTACAGATAGACTACTCCTAAATAAGAACTAGATAAGTTAAGTTACTCCTAATGCTATAAGGGTTGTAAATTTGTTTGAAGATGATTCTAACTTCGAATTTCCAGCTTTTATATTACTGGTCTTCAAACTCCACTGTTGCTCTGCTGCCACGTGTCCTATTATGTAGCCAGCTACCTCCACTTCAATGCCCATGATCTCTGCAACTGCCAGTAATTGCTTCTCTGTTATAGTTTTTCTCCTTCTAAGAAACGTGACACGTATCCTGTATGCCTTGCATGCTAACTTTATGGCTTGACGTATGGGCCATGTTTGGCCACATTCCACTTCACTACTAGATGAATCGACAGGAAAACTGCAACTGCCACGTTTGCCTCTTTGACTATTTCCTTTTTGTCACTTGCTCTGTATTCCAGACTTCATATTCACCCACTTTTCACTTGCAAACTTGTTGAAACTCATGGTCTTTAAACCTAGAATCCACTGGACCAATTCTCTGCATTTGTTCCATGCAATCGACAGAGAATATACAATTTTTAGTGTCAACAATATGATATGAAGAAATTTCACTGTTACTAATCACTAAGAATGAAAAAATATGAAATGAAAATCAATCAAAAATATGAAAAATCCAAAATTGAAAAATAGTTTTAAAAAATTAAACCAAAGAAAATTGTTATTATTAAAGTACCATGCAAAAAATACAATTCTAAAAATCTAAACAAAAAGAAAGTGTATAAAAATAGCCTATGAATTCCTGCGATGTAGTACGAAATTAGATGTGTCTCTCTTTATGTAAATTCGAATAGATGTATACAATTCTAAGATTTAATCCAAAATATTCACAGTATTTTTGTGTAGATTCGAATAAATAAATACAACTCTACGATTCAACTCAAAATATTTACGAAATTCAAATCCATGATGACAATTGTAAATAATATGTGCAACAGTATAGAAGTAGATAGAGAAACTAAAAAACATTTATAGTTCAATCATCAATTCAAAAAATAGGAAGACACGTTATAGAACTTTTGGAATGAGGGGGACAAGAAATTGAAATGTTAATGTTAATGTCAAGAACTTTTGGAATGAGGGGGATAAGAAATTGAAATGTTAATGTTAATGTTAAGAGAAAAAGAAGACAATTGGTTTATACAAGACTTTTCATGACTTTTGTGCATGATGTAATAGTTGGATTTAAATCCAAAACCTTTAAAAGGATATTTTCAGAATATGTAAAAAGTAAAAAATATTCAGACTTTTTTAAACTTTTAAAATAATAGTAGATAGATAAGAATATAATTTATATACAAAAATTTGATATCACACTATTATAGCATTTTCAGCGGTGCTGCCAAAACAAAATACAAAACTCAAATCTACCATTATTGAAATTACAAATGTTTGAAATAAATTACAGAACTGTGGTAAAACCAAACTCAAACCTGGGCTTGGGTTTTGAATCCTGGTCCACTTGTGCGACGCATGACAAGTGGCCCATTGGTTGGGCCTGATGTACGGGGAGCAAATATTCCGGCAAGCCCGTACTCCTTTCTTCCGAGCTCCGTTACTGTCCGATCACCTGCGAGCAAATAACGATGAGCTACCCGGCGGTGTGTGGCCGGAAAACCCCTCCGACGATCAAATTAGAACGCACACGGGATAGATAGAGAGAAGGGAGAGTGTTTAGAGTTTTGTGTATGTCTCACTAAATGTTCATCTATCGCGTATGGAGGGCGCAGACATGCTTAGATACCCTCTGTGCCCCATATCTACTCCCAGTCATCCCCTGACACGTGGCTCTGCTATCCTATTTGTCAGCATAAACCTTGCTGAACATCACCTAATCTCAACTGCCTGCCTTCACAGCTGGAGCTTGGCAGCCGAGCTGCTCTATCCGTTTCCGTGCCATGCCGTGCTTCATACCCAAGCACTTCACTGGCTAAGTCCAAGAAGGACCAGGCTAGGCAACATCTCGGCAAAGCCTAGCCCGAGGCACCTCCTGTGGCCGGCCTTTCTGCCAGTCAAACAGTTACCTCGGCTGACCACGCCTTTCCGGGCGCCGGTCACTCCGCTTGTCTTGCTTCGGCCATCGTCTGATCGAGCAGCTCGGTCCAACCGAGCAGCTTCTTTACGGTCTGGGGCGACACACACTCGGCCCAAGTTCTGCCCGGCCCAAGTTCTGGCAGCCCATCTCTTGGCGGATAGTCAATCATCTCGCCCCTGCACCGTTGGGCTCTCAACCTGCTCGGCCATCACCACGGCCCAACTCCAGATCATAAATCACCCTCTCAACTGCCCCTTAATTCCGTCCGCGAAAGCGTGACTGGGATTACTTACTTCGAGCGGATACCATTCGCATCCGGTCTTCAAAATGCCAAAGGGCGACCAGGCTAGTTAACATTACTGTCTGCAAACTTACCCGGCTATATTCCTCGGCTGACGTCCTCTTCTTTGAAAGTAGCTCGGTTGGCTCTTCGACTCTTCAACCTGTCTCTTCAGTTCTGACGTCGCCATAAATGGGGACACATGGCGGGCTGCCATTGGTTCTCGAGCAGCCAACCCGCCGTTTTGCTAGAATTTGAATTTGGGCGGTCTCTTTTGTCTATACACATAAGACCCTTCGTCCTCATTTTCCTCTAACTGTCTTTCTACAATCCGACTCGCGAGAGCTCTAGCATCTTCCTCCAAGCCCCGCTTGCCATTTTTTGCGTTTGTGCTCGAAGGAAAAGTAATTACCCCTCACTGGTAAGACCTTCTATCCCTCTTTTGTTGCTGTCTTCTTTAATATTTCACACATTAGGGCACTAAAACTTAGTTCTTAGGGCATAGGCCATAGAATCCGTCCCAAACCTCCCACTGTTCTTGGTGTTCTTCATCTCCGTGAAGAACACTGAAGAACTGGGGCGAACCGGGCTCCTGGTCTTCTTTTGATCCAAAAAACCATTCTGACCGAGCAAATAACGTGTTTGTCTCAACCCCGGCAAAAACTGAGATAACAAAAGGAAATGGTCGCTCAACCGGGCTAATATCTGGCCTGCCTGGGCGACCGAGCTCTCTAGTTAGCTTAGGAAACCGAGGTGGTTTTGGCACACTTAACGACCGAGCTAAAGACTAGCTCCTTCCGCGCGACCGCGCTCACACTTACACTTGCCCTCCTTTTCCAGCAGAGTCCAAGGGGACCACTGTCCATTCCTCAGGTTCTCAAGACCGAGCGATTAACAATTGCCATTGTGCCAAACACCTCAGCCGAGCTACCACAGTCCGGCCACAAATGGGGAAATTCCGCTTCCTAGTGGATACTCCGGCCGCGCTAGCTGCTTTCAGAGAGGAGTACGGCATCCCGGCCGACGTCCATCTCGAACTGGCTGAAGAGAAGACAACACCCTGGGGCAGACTAGACCAATGCCCCTTCACCGTGCTCTCAATTGTCGAAGGGGGCCTCCGTTTCCCGCTCAACCCACTTATAACCGAGTTCCTCCGCCGCACCGGGCTGGCACCCACAGAAGTGTCCACCAATACTTATAGAATAATCAACGGCGTTCACGAATTGAACAATCGGCTAGGCACCAACTTGGGTCTAGCCGAGATACTGAGGCAATACACAATGGGCCACACCGGGGACGGTTTAGCTTATTACTTGAAGATCAGATCGGGCAAGGAAAAAATTGTAACCGGCAC